GTGGAAACCAGTGCTGTCTTGGCCAAATTTGGGGGGCTATCAAAATCAGTCTGCACTTGAATAATTTCAATATGGTTCAATACTTTCGGAATTAGCTGTAATTGGCGGGAACGCAATATGCCATACATGTTCTGCCATGCAATAGACAGGGCATCCAATGCAAAACGCTTGGGGTTTGGCGGGAAGCCATGAGCAAAAAAATGTTGTCTGTATGTTCTCTTGAGTTGGCAAAGAGATCTATCAGAGGTTGACCCCAAATATTGAAAATTTGAGATGTCAACTGTTTTTGGTTCAGACTTCCAAATTCTGTATCCCTCACTTCCTGTCTGCTCAGAAAATCTGCCAGAAAATTCAAATTTCCCCATTATGTGAACTGCTTTCAAACCACAATAATTGTGATTCAATAGCCAGTTTTCCCATAACTCCCCCAAGTTAAACAGACAAAGTGTAGGGCAACGAAGTCCCCCCCTGGCAAATTTATTAACTGACACCTAAACGTTTTTGTCCGATCGAAATAAAACTTTCCCCTTGTTTTTCCAGAGCGGGAACAAAAAAGTGGCGGACTTTTCAAAATTTTACCCCCCTTCTTTTTCTAAAATTTTTTTAGGGTGTTGTATTTTTTTCCATCTTTGACCAACGGGGCCCTTTCATGGGAAAGTTGTTCATGTGACCGCCCCAGCCCCCAAATTTCCCCCTCGAAAACGGGGGGGGCAGATTGGAAAGGGGAAATTTTGTTGAACCCGATCTTCCCCTTTTGAAAAGTTTTGCCCTGTAAACCCCCAATTTGAGATGATATCGTTTGCATAAGGGGTTTAAAGGGTATATTTTAAAATTAAAAAGGATTTTTTGCCCCGGGCTCCAAAGGGTTTTAACAAAAGAAATGTATGGGGCCCCAAAAGAACAACTTTGCATTTGGGAAATTTTTTCTAGACAAAAAGGTATCAACCCCCAAAACAATTTATTAAAATTTTTTTTGGGTTTAAACGAGCCTTGTAAAAATTTTAGAACTTTCATGTTTCAAAGGGTTTTTAATTCTCTTTTTTTGTTTTGGGTTAAAAAATAAACCCCCTTTTTCATATCGAAAAAGGGGGCCCCCTTTGTAAGTGAAAATTTGAGAAGGAAACTAAAGAAGGGAATTTTTTTTTTGTTTACTATTTAAACCCCAGTTGGAAAAAAAGGGGGGATCTAGAATAAAACTTTCGATCTGACAAACATCTTTGGGAAAATTTTTCCGATTGGCAAAATAACCAATCGGGGCCAAATAAGATGTTAGAAAAAAACCTTGTTGTCTGAAAATTTGGGTCTTTTGAAAGGAAAATTTTTTTTGCAAAAAAACCCTTGGACCGAAAGTTTTTTGGGCCCAAAACATAGCACTCGAAATTGGTACACCTGACCTTTGAAACAGAAACGAAGATATTTTCTGTGACCCTTGAACATTTTTACATGAAATAAGTTTTTCAGGTCCAGATTTATTGCATAATCTCCTTTTTGAACTAGGTTTAGAACTTTTGGCATAGTATCCATTTTGAAAGTGAGTTTTCCTCAAATACCGGTTCAATGGCTTTAAATTTATTACAGGTCTCATTTCCCCATTTTTTTCTTTGGAACTAGGAACAACGTACTGTAAAAACCTGTAAGAATCTGAGATTTGTCTACTATTTCTATAGCGTTTTTTCAATAAAAGTTCTTCTATTTCTTTTTGAAATAAATTTTCTTGATCTAAAGGTTCTTTCGTCTGTTTTATTCCCAAGAAATGTGGAATTTTTAGAAATTCTAGTTTGTAGCCATTCTGAACTACATCTAGAACCCATTTGTCTATTGTTATTTTCTTCCAATTTTCTATAAAAAGTGAAATTCGACCACCTACCGGAATTTGAGGAAAACGTGCTAGAGTACTTACATGGTCATTGTTGAGTTGATCTTCCCATTTTCCTTCCATATGAACGTTTTGGAAAGAAATCGGGCTTGGAATTTTTCTTGTACTGTCCAGTGAAATTTTGCCCCTTGGTATGACTATCTGATGGAATCTTGGGGATACGAAAATTATTGTCCCAGCCACTGCTTGTTTTGCGTTGCTGGAATGTCCCTACGTAAACGTTTAGTGTCATTTGAAGAACGAACAGGTGAGAGCCTTCTTTTTCTGTCTCTCTTTTTCAGCTCAGGTAACATATCATCTAACTGCTTCTTTTTGTCCTTCCGTGCCTTTAATAAAGGTTCAAGTCCATTACCAAAAACACCATCACCAGTTAAAGGTAAAGTAGCAAAATCTTTGTAATCGGAAAGATCATACATGCCTGTATCTGCCATAGTTACTGTACGACGAACAATGTGATGAAAAGCTGCGGAGCGACTCAATTGATCAAGGCACTTCGTGGACATAGCAAAAATGTCTTTAACAATTTCACTGTTTTGTCTTTTGAAGTCATCAGAAGAAACAAATTCAACCAAATTTCCCAAAGCTTGTTGCATATAAAGTTGCATAACAATACCTAAACGAGCTGCTTGGGCTCCACGGTAAGAAACTTTTTCTACAGTTTTATGTGGTTGAGAAAACAAGCATTTAACCTGACTGTTCTTAAAAAGCCGCTTTACTGCCATGTCTGTTAACAAAGTAAACTTTCTATTAAAGGATCAAGTGTAGGAACTTGCAAAAAATTTTCCGTTTCTTCATCCACCGGAAATAAATCAAAATTTTCTTCATTAAACCGCAGAGAGAAAATTAGGGAGAAGTTGAAATGTAGACTGTCATTCAAGACTCTTTCTGGATGAATTTGTCCCACCGAAATAACCTCCTTCTTGGTGGACTTTCTTCACTGTAGGCATTTTTCAAAAAAATGTTAAAAAGGACATTTCTTAGTTGAATCAGAAAGTTTCTTTTTCATCGACTTTCCCTTAATAAAAACATTGGTCTTTTCATCTACAAAAAATTATCTCCATGAATAGACAAAATAATCACTGTTCAAGCCAGGAGATTAGAATCTGTCACTGTCCGACAGAGATCTGAGCCCGACTTAAAACTTAGAACGATGCACACTGTTCTTTTTCTTCACGTGTCTTTCCGTATAGACGGAAGAAGAGTTACACTGGGAGATTGAGCAGATTTGGATTTTGGCAACTAATTTCCATCCAATTTACCCGAAATACTCGACTCCAGAGCTGAGAATTTTTTGATTCCATTGTCCTTTCTAGAACATCGTATCTGGAACGTCTTTTAAGTGGAGTTTTCGGCGTATTAGTACCCGACTCCGAGTCCGAAGGAGGAATTTCACCTTCCTCTGGTATTTTATTTGTATCAACAAATAGTTGAGCCATAACTAAAGCGAATAAAGTGAAAAAACACGACCGATTTGGTCGCCGAAAAAAGGAAACTGACATCTTATACACGTGGCGGAAGTAAGGGGAGTTAATTGAAGAGCTTACTTCCGGTGTAAATAGTTTAGCGAATTGTGAGAAATTAACGGAAGGAATCCATATGGTACTGTCGGGTAAGTTTATTTACGAAATGAAAATAACATCTTTGATTGTTTTATTACAACCTATATCATTCCAAAACGAGGCATGTGATTTTAAACGACCTTTTACAGAAATATTTGGCATGAAAGTAGACTCAATATAATCAAAATAGTTCTTGTGCTCATAGTACGTACTGATAAATGAATTATATGAAAAGTCACACTTAACTTGTAAACACGTGATATCGGCCCGATCCTGTTCATTGCTTCTTGGCGTTGATTGTATCTGTCACGGCTCTGGTGACGTCATCGTGCACTTGCTGGTTGTAGAAATCGTGGGGACAGTTGGCTCTGAAGTGCCCGAATTTCCCGCAGGCAAAACATCGATCTGTTGGTGGAGCTCGTGAGACACCCTGTTGTCTAGAATAGAGGCCCTGGAATGGTGTTGGGGGACGAAAATTGGTGCTTGGTTGCTGAATGTTACCACCAACGCTATTTGGAGGAATAGTGTACGGAGCAAACCGGTTGCCATTTGTGAACCTTCTGTTCGCTTTCTTAGCTTCATTGCGCTGTTTGATAGTGGACGCAGCTGCTTTCTCAGCCTTTTTAATTCTCTTTGAATCTTCATCATCGCTGGCTAAATCGTCCTGCTCGTATTCGTGTACAGTCAACCAACCACTAGGTGACTTGTCTGCCAGTATTATCAGTTTATTGCGACGTTCAATCTTTTTCTTAGCAGTCTCACACAACTCGAGCGCCTCACCGTGTTCTCCTGACTCAATCAGTCCGATTATTTGAACAATGCAATCCACCAGCTCACAGTTATGATCGAACTGAATCTGATTCCCTTTGTTTTTCAAAACAGTGGATTTGTGAGTTTTTGCAACACTTCCTTTGCATATCTCTTTCTTAAAATCTGCAAACTTTGCATCAAAATAAGATTTTATCTCGTCTAAACTGTCCGAGTTTATACTTGAATTTAAGTGAGAAGTTAAGATTAAACTCGTCTGAACAGCCGAAAAGCAAATCCTCGAATTTATTATTTTACACACCTATAGTATACCATATACATGTATCACACTTTTCACGTGCACATCCCCGCCAAAAATAAACACGAGCGACAATCATAACCCCGCTCAACCATGTACGCGGTAAGTTGCCTGGCAACGTGTGTAAATACATTTATTATATTATTGTACTTTTGAAGGTTCATTACTGAAGTTATTGAACTTGTTAAATAAAATAATATTATGCACACCAGATGCTCGCATAATATAATTTAATTCAACTCGTGCAATAAATTCAGTCATTCAATATCCTCTTTTTAACAATGCATTTTTATATACATGTATAAAAGTAATTTAACAACTGCATTTATCTTTGTCTTTATAGGATTACAAATATTATATCAGGATCCCAGGATCCCACATGCAATTAAATATAAATTTTATTGAACGAGTTGAAGAAATTGTTAAAAAGCGAGCCTCTTGGACGAGTTTATTAAAATGGCATATGATAATGAATGAGCGATGATTATTACACATGTCACAGGTTCATATACGTAGTACGGTACATGTTTATATGTGTTATTGTTTGTCCTATTAAATGTCCTATAGCTTTAATTTTCATCATACTTTTCATTCATCCCCATATTGATCATATACTAACCACCATTACGGGCCTCTCTATCTAACTTTCTACTTCATTGATTCACTACACTACGCATGCGCACTATTTTGTAAGATTTTGATGGCGAGAGCCGCGATTTTCGAATGCTAATTAAAATTATTTGAAAGCGCATAATTTGTGTATTTACAGGTAAACTGGTAGATTGTTTTGATGCTCTGATTCATTCTTTCCATTTTGTCATTCATCATTTTCATTGATATTTTGTATTTTGCACTATTTTGTAAGATTTTGATGGCGAGAGCCGCGATTTTCGAATGCTAATAAAATTATTTGAAAGCGCATAATTTGTGTATTTACAGACCCTCTGTCCAGGTCCCAAGTACTTTAACCCACAGCGTCCATCAGAAACCCCTTATCTTTTGGACTGCGACAATTGGCGCCCAACGGGGGACTTGGGCTGCCACAACGCTGGAGTAACTTTTGGGTCGATAGTTCCGGGGACGAACGTTGAGCGATGATCAGTCAGCCATATTTGTTTGTACATGTATACGCATATTGGAATGCAGGATGTAAACAATGGTGGAATGTATAAGTTTTATCTTATTTCAACGTCAGTTAACCATCGGCAGTGATTTATTGTGATATTCTGAAATGAATTAGACCAGATATTTGTGTGCACAATTGTTTTCTTGTAAATTTTTAGCTAGCAATTTGATCGATTTCTACTTTCGTTTTCTAATTGGTACCATATTTCGCGAATGACAACACGGATGACATTTTCTATTGGAACATTTAATTATTCATAGAAGAGTGATACATTTTAGGATTTGGAACTGTTTTAGTCTGCTTCAGTGAATTTGAGTGTTATTGATATATAAAATAGGACTTGTAATTTAAATAGATTTTATTGACTATATTGTATATTGTACATGTCATGTTATTTTTCTATTTTTGTGATTCTCAATATTTTATTTAAATTTCAGATTTGTCATTGAACTGTTGTGAAATTGTGTCAGTGGTCACCTTGCAGAATCACAGTTGAAGGGTTGTTCATCTTGGCAGAAGGATCTTAGCATGTTTTCTGTAACAGTACTTTTCTGGTGATTGGTGAGAATCTTACTAACATTTCCCATCATAAGCCCTTAATATTATAGCTTTTCCTTACATAAAGACCTCTCCCATTTCCAATATGCATATATTTGCCCTTCCTTGATGTACCTGTCTCTATTTGGATAATATAGCATATATATTTATGTTATATTATGGTGATGTGTTTGGAAGCCAGCTTGGAACAGATATTTATCAGAAACCTTGAACATGTATAGTTTGTCAGTGGTACTGGTAAGTTAAGGTAGTTTATAGTGTAGTCTTCAACTGATCATGTTGTGAGTACATTTAGTAAGAGTGCCTTTGATGGTAAAGGAACTATATTGCTTCTCTTGACATCAAGACAGATTGTTGATATTTCTCTTTTGTTACATTGAATGTGACTCAAGTGAAATTTTATGCCTTGAAGAATGTGACTTCTATATATTTGTTTACAGGTCAATAGATGTATACACTTTTGATATATGCACTGCTGTAACTGTATGCTGTTAGTGTATATTGGAGAAAAGTAAACTTAACTTAGCACATTCAGATTTATAAAAAAATTGTCTGTTGCTGTATATTTTAGAGAAATACAATTTTGTTGTTTGTTTTATTCAAAATCTGACATCACGTTCAGATATTAGTATCTAAAGTAACATCCCTGTGGTGAATTACTTTAGTAACTATATATACAAACAATTTATTCCAACTGTGCTGACTGGCAATTGATGAAAGATAGTGTACAGTGTACTTCACTAGATAAGAGAGTGTAAGGTGTTTTTGAATGAATTGCAACATGTACATTTACCATTGATCTTTTAAATAAAAGTATGGTGTCCAATTGGTGACATATTTCATAAATTTGGAATTATTTCGCAGAATAGAATTAATTCAGAGTTTGCCATATTGAAGTACATTTAAGCTTACTAAAGTTGAGTGTATTTTGATAAGTGCATATATTTACATTTTATATGGTGCAGTGAAAGGAACATAATTGTAATATTTTATTTTGAGTGTAGAAATTACATAAATATAGACATGCTATGACTATGTGATCAATAAAAGAGTACTTATAGTACATACCATATTTGATCTACTTGATTTTACTTTTTTGAAGTGATTTGTTTGGTGTTTAATTTGTGTATGCAGAGATGGATTCTACTCGTACTCTTACACACATTAGGGAAGAGGAGTTAGAGTATTATATTGAACAGATTGAGCGTTCTGGTAGATATGCTGTAAATCCTATTACTTCTTGTACTGTTAATCCTGTCTCTACTAGCACTCCTGTTCCCCCTCCATTAGATTTTACAAGGGATGCTACTCATACACCAATTAGAGAGTACAACAACAGACATTCAGGAGCAGGCATACATCCTCAAATGGATAATATTTGTCCACCTGCACGCCCTCCCCCACCTAATCCTTATACTTTGTATCCACCTTCTTACTTGGATACTTCTTTGTCTGTAAGTCATTCTCGTATTCCTAAACTACCTCAGTTTTCAGGTGAGAGTAGGCCTGGTGATTGTGAGTTCGAGGTCTGGAAATATGACTTGCATTGTTTGTTAAGAGGTAGATTGTATCCAGACCATATTCTTCATGAAGCTATTCGTACTAGTTTGAAAGGGAAAGCACGAACTGTTCTCTTGCATTTGGGCGAATGGGCTACTATTTCAGATGTTATAGCTGAATTGGAAGCTATTTATGGTAATGTGTCCACTTCTGAACACCTGAAAGAACAATTTTATTGTGCCAGACAGGAACCTAACGAGTCCGTTGCTGAATATAGTCTTCGGTTAGAGCAGATTCTTACCAATGCCAATTTACATTTAGATAGATATGCCAAGAATGACATGCTTCGCAATCGTCTTTGGTCAGGGCTTCGGAATGATGAACTTCGTAATGTTTCACGTTACAAGTTTGAGTCCATCCAAGATTTTAATGTTCTTCGTAGAGAACTTAGGCAGATTGAACAGGATATTACAGCCCGTAAATCTGTTCACTTTTCTTCACCAGCTGCCACTAGTGCACCTAAGCCATCATCTTCTTCACGTAATTCTTCATCTGGTATATCTTGTTCTGTAAAGATGTCCGTGGTTGAAAGTAAGATCCTTCAGCAGTTAGAAGAAATATCCACACAGATGAAGAAACTCAATACCAGAGTTGAAACTGTTGAGAAAGAGTTTGCCAGTTTTAAGAGGAAGGCTGAGCCAACAGCTAAAGCTACCACTGGAGCACAATCTCGCTGGTCTGATAGAGGTCGATATAGTAGATCAACCTATACTACCCCTTCAGTCGACGATAAAGCCAAGGAGCCCGACACCAAGTCTTTAAACGAGCAGAGACCTTCACAGAAGGGCCAGTAGAAGGTCTGATTAATAAGAGCCCTACACTTGTACCTTTAGTTGGTAAGTCCAATACCTCTGAAGTTTCTATCAATGGTAAATCTTACACAGCTCTTATTGATTCAGGTTCCATGATTACAACCGGAAGTGAGTCATTTTTCAAGAATCTTGGATCTTCTTTCAAGCTTTGCTCTTTAGAAGACTTTGCTCTTGATATTTCTGGTGCTAATGACTGTAAAGTTCCTTATATTGGTTATATTATATTGGATCTTTCTGTACCTTCACTAGACTCATCTTCTATTTCAGTTCCAGTGTTAATTGTTCCAGACACTACTTATTCTGCCTCTGTTCCTCTTATTGTTGGTACCAATGTCATACGACATCTTTACTCATCCAGTAGTCAGAAGGATATTCCTGATTGTTGGCAACAAGCTTTCTCTGCTGTTTCTTTTCATCAAGCAGTACGTGTAAAATCTCTTAATCGTAGATCTTTCACAATTCCGCCGTATCAGACGATTACAGTGACTGGCAAGGTTCGTGATACTGGAGAGATGACTGTGGGTGTAACTGAAAGTCTTGACTCTTCTCATTATCTAAGTGTTTGTCCTAGGGTTGTGAATGTTAGACCAGGGAATGCTTTATCAAAGATTCCAGTTAGAATTTGTAATCTTTCAGCAAGACCTGTAAAGATTGGTCCGAAGACGGTTTTATGTAATCTGAAGCCAGCTGAAGTTGTGCGTAACCTTGATCCGTCAGAGGGTTCTATTCCTAAAGATCACAACCAAGATAAATCTCTTGAAGATTTAGGTATCAACATCCCTGCTGATAATCTTTCTCTTGAAGAGCAAATCCAAGTCACTGAGTTTCTGAACAAGTGGAAGTATATCTTTTCATCTGGTTTAACAGATCTAGGGTGTTCAAAGTCGGTTGAACATAAGATCGAGTTGTCTGATCCTACTCCATTCAAGGATCCATATCGAAGGATACCACCAGGGATGTATGAAGAAGTGCGTGAGCATATTCAAGATATGTTGAAAGCTGGTGCGATAAGGCCATCACATAGTCCATTCTCCTCTAACGTAGTATTGGTCAGGAAGAAAGATGGTTCTCTTCGTTTCTGCATTGACTTCCGTCGTCTTAACAATCGTACAGTCAAAGATGCCTATGCACTTCCTCGCATAGATGAGACAATTGACACTCTTTCAGGTTCTAAATATTTCACCAAGCTCGATCTACGTTCAGGTTACTGGCAAGTGCCTTTAAGGGAATCTGATAAAGCTAAGACCGCCTTTACAGTAGGGCCTCTTGGTTTTTACGAGTGTGAGCGGATGGCCTTTGGACTTACAAATGCTCCCGCAACGTTCCAACGCCTTATGGAGCGTTGCATGGGTGAGTTGCACTTGAAAGAATGCCTCATCTATTTAGATGACGTCATTATTTTCAGTGACACTGTCCAAAGTCATTTTCAGAGACTTGAAGCTGTTTTCAAAAGGCTTGATGAATTTGGTTTGAAATTGAAAGGTTCAAAGTGTGAGTTCTTTTTGAGAGAGGTGAAGTATTTAGGTCATGTTGTCAGTTCAGATGGCGTGAAGACTGATCCAGATAAGATTTCAGCACTCAATAATTGGCCTGTTCCAACGTCTGTTAAAGATCTTCGCTCTTTCCTCGGCTTCTCTGGTTATTACAGACGCTTTGTTCCAGGATTCTCCCAATTAGCCAAACCATTGAATGATTTGCTTGTAGGTCACCCTACAAACAAGAAAGGCAAATGCGTTAAAAACGCTGCGCCTTGGATCTGGGGTCAAGATCAGCAACAGGCATTCGAGGCTATAATTGAAAAATTAACCTCTGCACCTGTTCTTACTTATGCTGATTTTTCCCAGCCATTTATTGTCAATATAGACGCCAGTGGTCTTGGTTTAGGAGCTATCATATACCAGAAAGTAGATGGCATGGAACGAGTTGTGGCCTATGCTAGCAGAGGTTTACGTCCAAATGAGCGAAACTACCCAGCTCACAAACTCGAATTTCTTTCTTTGAAATGGGCTGTGGTAGATAAGTTCCACGATTATCTGTATGGTAACCAATTTCTTGTGCGTACAGATAATAACCCTTTAACATACGTTTTCACAACTGCCAAGCTCGATGCTCAATCTCATCGTTGATTAGCCGCTCTTTCTGCTTATAACTTTACCGTTCAATATCGCTCTGGTAAACACAATATTGATGCTGATATCTTGTCCAGATTACCAGGTGTTACCGAATGTGATGATGAAAAACAGAATTTTCTCTATCCTGACATTCTAAAAGCTTTATTTCAAGCTGCTCTTGCTGATGTTAGGGAGCTTCCTGTCATTGAGTGTGTTTCTGTTTCTCAACAAGTACTGAACAAAAATCCAAGTGATAATTTTGATTCAGGTACCTATCTTAGTGACATTGATTGGCATGTTGAGCAGTCAAAGGATAGTTCTATTTCTAGAGTCCTTGATATTGTAAAGGCCGGTCATAAGTTGACAAGTCGCCAGAACGCCTTGGAACCTGAACTTGTAAGACAGTACTTACGGGAATGGCCTTCTTTGTTTGTCAAAGATGACATTTTGTATAGAAATGGTCTTGTTTATGGACACCCTGTTATACAGCTTGTTGTTCCAAGTGTTTTTCATGACATCGTATTCTCTGGACTTCATGATGAAGCAGGCCACCAGGGCCGGGATCGAACCACATCTTTGATAAAATCTAGGTTCTTTTGGCCAGGGCTAGATAAGTTTGTTGATCAGCGTGTGCGTGGATGTCCAAGGTGTATTCGTCGCAAGTCATCTGCTGGTTTTTCTGCTCCTCTTGTGTCTGTAGAGTCCTCATATCCCCTTGAACTTGTATGCATGGACTATCTCTCTCTAGAAATGTCATCAGGTGGATATGAGAATATCCTTGTAATAACAGACCACTTCACCAGGTTTGCACAGGCAATTCCCACACGTAATCAGACCGCACATACAACTGCTAAAGTCCTATTTGAGCAGTTTGTATGTCATTACGGTTTTCCCAGCCGCTTGCACAGCGACCAGGGCCGTAACTTTGAAAGTGCCGTCATACAGGAACTGTGCAAGTTGGCCAATGTGGAGAAAAGCAGAACCACGCCGTACCATCCGCAAGGAAACGGAATGCCCGAGCGATTTAACCAGACGCTTTTAAACATGCTCGGCACCTTGGAAGATGACCAAAAGGTAAATTGGAAGGCCCATGTACCTGCCCTCGTCCACGCGTACAATTCAACGCGTCACGAGAGTACAGGGCTCACACCCCATTACCTTATGTTTGGACGACATCCTCGTTTAGCTATTGATGCCTTTTTGGGGATCGAACCGGATGCTGTCGGAAGATCTTCTAGCCACTCCAATTATGTCCGAGACTTACAAAAAAGGCTTGACTTCGCCTACAAGGTCGCTTCTCGAGAATCTAAGAAACAAGCCCGTCGTCACAAAAGACGTTACGATCTTAAGGTTCGTGAAGCAACACTTAAGCCAGGTGATCGTGTCCTTGTGAGGAATGTTGGCTTAAAGGGTAAAAATAAACTTGCTGATAAGTGGGGAAAGGATATTTATCTTGTTATAGACCAAGTAAATGAAGATATCCCAGTCTTTACTGTTAAGAAGGAACACGGTCGAGGTCCTTCAAGAACGGTCCATAGAAATTTACTCCTTCCATTTCTAGGACTCCCACTTAACAGTCCAAAAGAGAATATTTCCTCCCATGAGTCTTGCAATCCCCTTAACAGGTCTGTGAGTTCATCAAATATTCCAAAATCAGATTTGCCCTCTTTGAGTTCTTCCACTGAGAAGTATGTAATTCCACAGCGAAGGAAGTCTTCTTTAAATCCCTGTGCAGAACCATTTTATCCAAATCGTCCTACCCGTTCCAAGAGAAAACCTGCATGGCTGTCATCCACTGATTGGATAACTTAATTTTATTACTGAAATTAAGTTATAACACTGTTTGATATATGTTTGTGTTGATGTTTATACAGTTTTATTATCTGTTTATTTTATTTTTACAGGTAATTCTTTCTGCTGATAAAATATGAACATATTTGATGAATTTATGTTTTCTATTATTTCCAGGTACGCATGAGGACAGGTGTGACTGTATATTATAGTTATCCTTATATAGATGTACTTTGAAATAATCAACAGTGTCTGTGTGTTTTTTTTTAGATGAGCAGTTCTCGGATACACTAGAAGAATTTTTGAATTCTTATGCGCAGATAATTGCTGATGTTGCTTTCAAACATTTTGTGCCACTATAATTCGTTATAGTTTAATGTTTGTCGTAATGGAACATTAAGAAATAATCAAAAGATTGGATTATAATAAGCAATTATGATCTAATCTCAATGATTTCATGAGTATTTTAGGCCTAATACTCAAACTGAATTTGTCTTGATGTCGAGAGAGCAAGGTGGTTCATTTACTATTTGTTACTGTAGTATTATTACCAGTAACATAGTAATGTAGTAATTTAAGTAGTTTTTACGACAGATATAGTACTTCTGAAGTAGTGCCATGGATACAGCTGCTTAGTACGCAGTTGTGTGTTTGAAATGTCGGGACGACATTTTTCCTGTGAGGGGAAGGATGTCACAGGTTCATATACGTAGTACGGTACATGTTTATATGTGTTATTGTTTGTCCTATTAAATGTCCTATAGCTTTAATTTTCATCATACTTTTCATTCATCCCCATATTGATCATATACTAACCACCATTACGGGCCTCTCTATCTAACTTTCTACTTCATTGATTCACTACACTACGCATGCGCACTATTTTGAAAGATTTTGATGGCGAGAGCCGCGATTCTTTACTGCTAATAAAATTATTGTAAAGCGCATAATTTGTGTATTTACAGGTAAATGGGTAGATTGTTTTGATGCTCTGATTCATTCTTTCCATTTTGTCATTCATCATTTTCATTGATATTTTGTATTTTGCACTATTTTGAAAGATTTTGATGGCGAGAGCCG